CTTTTAAGCCATAAACAGTCCAACACTCCAGCATGATCCTACGCAGACGCTACAAACGTCCTTCAAGGACAGCGCATCCACACTTTGCTCCATCCTTATTCTGCTCTGTCACTCATCGACAACCTGCCTGTTCTGTCTGAGGGCCGTATATTTACCACAGGTACAGCCTGCTCTGAGCATCGTTATGCACATGCTGCGCACAGACCCCGCAAATAAAATGCGTGACGTTTAAAGCATGCATGCAGCGCGTGCATAACAGTCCTGAGCGCAAGGTGCCGGTGGTCAATAAGAATAAAGCGCAGATATGCTGTTCTAAATGGGTGTCGGAAACGGGATATTGTTAGACTGCCCGCTCCCGTTCAAATTACACCAGAGTTACCGATTGCTACCGCGTTTTATTAGGGAATTTAATCCCGTGGAATTAAAAATCCGGTCGGGTGCCGCGGGAATGCAGACCTCTAAACTGAGCCTATGTTATTCAGCTGTATTTACAGTAAGACATGTAGCTGTTACTAATAAGTTTCCCTTATTCATTCCTAACTCTTATTCTCCCCTCTTACCCTTGACCTCTGACCTCTTAGCCGAAAGAGAGGTTTACACGTAGACACACCCTCACTGTGTTGCCCCTCCCCCTTGAACCAGAGGACTCCTCCCCTCTCAGCCGGGCAGCCAAACGTGTCACAATGGATTTCTCACTGCTTTCAAGCCCCACCCTCGACGATAACGACACTAACAGAATTACTGACACCATACAAGTAGAGCAACCCTAGAGTGTCCCCATCTGGGGAGTGTGTGTGCTTTAGACATCATGAGGGTGTTGCATGTCTATCTCATATTGTATTTTTCCAGCTCTGTGCATTTGGTGGGGTGTTTTCTGCTCATTGAAAGTAATTTAGGGATGGGCTGTGAAGCTTCTGATGGCCCGCAGTGTGCTGTGATGTGATATTTTGATGTGTCTTCCATTTTATACTTTATGCTTCTGTGTGTGTGTGCACGATAGACCCAATCAGCCTCCGCTCTTGGTAGCTCTATGCTGCGCTGTGATAAATTGGACAGAGAAGAAATCAAAAACCTGCTCATGTGTTTCCTCCATGTTTTAAAGAGCATGTCTGAAGGTAAGAACATGCACACATGACTTTAATTTTCAAGGTCCACGTGCCTTTGCTCATGAATGTGCTCACTTTTGATTATTTTTCTAGATGCCTTATTTACATACTGGAACAAAGCCACAACCTCTGAGCTGATGGACTTTTTCACGTTAGTAGAGTAAGTCATCTAGACTGGTACTAATCACATCAGAGCATCAGAGTACAGAGGTCCTGTAACTTAATACTGAGCACTCAGTTCATTTCTCTCTCTTTCTCACGCACAGAGTGTGTCTGCATCAGTTCAGGTATATGGGGAAGAGATTCATTGCCAGGTAAAAATATTTTGCTCCTAATAGTCTAAGAATTCTTAGAAGTCTAAGAATTTTTGTTGCTAAATTATACGTATATATTTTTGTGGGAAATATAGGACCATAAATTACTAATTTATGCCAAAACATAAGAAAAAAATATTTCAATTTAATTTTGTGGAAAATCTGGGAACATTAAGGCTATTAAGTAAACATATTTTTGTTCAACAGGATATTTATGCCAAAACATTACAAAAATGTATCCTACCTGGACTGTCAATCTAATGCATCAATTTTGAACAGTTATTTATTTAAAAATAGTACATAATTTTATTATTAATTAAAATTATATTAACTATATTATATTAATAATCAAATAATATTACAATATTTTTATTCAAAACGTATTGAATAAATGTCTATTATATATATATACAGTGGGTACAGAAAGTATTCAGACCCCCTTAAATTTTTCACTCTTTGTTATATTGCAGCCATTTGCTAAAATCATTTAAGTTAATTTTTTTCCCTCATTAATGTACACACAGCACCCCATATTGACAGAAAAACACAGAATTGTTGACATTTTTGCAGATTTATTAAAAAAGAAAAACTGAAATATCACATGGTCCTAAGTATTCAGACCCTTTGCTGTGACACTCATATATTTAACTCAGGTGCTGTCCATTTCTTCTGATCATCCTTGAGATGGTTCTACACCTTCATTTGAGTCCAGCTGTGTTTGATTATACTGATCGGACTTGATTAGGAAAGCCACACACCTGTCTATATAAGACCTTAATGTGGGTCTGAATACTTTCCCTACCCACTGTGTATATATATATATATATATATATATATATATATATATATATATGATACATTTATTCAATATATTATATTTATATGTATTTATTCACTGGTGCCTTATTTTAATACTAAATAAGGTTTTTTATACAGTTTTATTGTATATTTTCTTGTCATTGCTTGTTTTGTGGATATTGCTTTGAAATATTACATGTAAGCACAGTCATGCCAATAAGGTACTTTACATTTTAAAGAAATAATTAATTCAGGTCAGTGCTAGACTTAAGATTAGTGAAATCGAAAAAAACACAAAAAATATATTTACTTGTAAAGTCACATTTTTTTCCGTGTCTGTTCAAAGATTTCTTTGTCTGCCTCTACAATGTAGCCTAATGTATTTGAATAATCCTCATTTGATGATCAGTAAAATGTATTGATAAATGTGATTCATTGTGATTCCTTTTTTATTAATGATCAGTTCATTTATTCAAAAAATGAATGATCTGGATGTCATGAATAATGAATTCACTTACATTTTTTTTAATCAGTTGATGGCACTAGTTCTAATGTTATTACAAATGATTTGACCAGTTCTCATCTGTAAAACCAGACATACAAACACAAGCACAAGACCACCACTGCTATCTCATATCTACCGTCTCTCTCTTGCCTTTCACATGCACTCACACATACATGCATACACGGCATCAAATCCTACACTGCCTTGAATGACGCTACTCCTTTATGTGTGTATATGTTTTATTGGTTGAAATGCTGGCGAGGGTTCAGTTAGTCAGTGATACTGTAGCATCCTGGCACCCCTGAACAGGGTAAGAGCTGTTGTGTGCTTTTGAGTGGCCTTCACTAACAGCATGCTGACTCATTCAACTAACTCACTGCTCTGTGTGTATGTGTGCTGAGACATTTCTACATTAATGCTTTCTCGATAGTGTAAGAGCAGAAGGTTTTGTGGTATCCCATTTAGATATTTATCATCTGCATGTGTCCATTCAACACATGAAGTACAATAATATGCTCTCTCCAGTGTGCACATCATCACATGTCCTGCTTTTTGTCCAGTGGATAACCAGTCACATGACTAATGGATGCCAACATTTAATGCACTGTATTAACACCTTTTATAAATCATCTGCAACATCATATTGGTTTATGAGTAGTAATACAGGTGCAACTTTGTGGCTTATCATTTATATAATATGATGTAAGAAATATACAGTGTCAGAAATAGAGCAGAAGTCAACCATAGTGAATGCAGGTGTTTTAAAGGGGTCATATCATGAGAAATCAAGTTACTCATTTCATGTTCAAAGAAGCCTTTGTCATAAGTCTTACGGGGTACACTACCATTCAAAAATATTAAGCAGCACAGCTGTTTTTAACTGTTTTGATAATAAAAAGAAATGTTACATAAGCTCCAAATCAGATTTCTGAAGATTTTTGAAGTACAGTATTATGTGACTCTGAGGACTGGAGTAATAGCTGCTGAAAGTTTAGCTTTGTCGTCATTTGAATAAATTACATTTTATAATATTTTAACATACAAAACAGTTTTAAATTGTTTATGAACCCCAAATTCTGAAAAAATACGGCAAGAAAGGCAATCGTTAGAGAGGGGGTGGAACGAGGTCTAAAATAGCATTATAAGCGGACCTCATAAGATCTATGACATGACCCCTACATATTTGCATTTTCATACTGTATGTATATGATTGACAGCTCACCAGACCTCTAATAAAGGCTTTGTTTTCCCTCAGAAGCCAGGATGGGGTGGGGTTTATGGCTCCGGACAGGAAGTCGTTGACTCTTCCTGTTTCTCGTAACAGAGGGGGCGTCATGCACACACGCTTACAACAGCTGGGCAGCCTGGAGAACGCACACACTTTCAACCACAGTAAGACACTTTAACACTTATTAATTCCTTAATTACTCCTCATCCTTCACTCCTCTCTAAGATGAACATTTAGAAGAATTTATTGTGCTTTGACAATCATGAAAGTTACACTGTGTGTGTATGTTTCAGTCTGAGAATTTGTTCTTGGGATCTTTGTTGACTAACCGGTAAGAGCTTCTTGAGTTTCAAGGGGACCAAAAAGCATAGTGCCATGCATATTCTGTGTATCATCCTTTGCGCCGTTTTGGCACATCTTCAATGCAGATTGAATTAAGTGTTGTAGTGCAGTGGTTTTTTTAATCCTGGTTCTGAAATACTCTAACAGTCTTCCAGGACCAGGATTGAGAACCACTGATGTAGTCCGACCAGAGAGAGCAAAGCAATACTGAGAGGCCAAAGCAGCTTATCTCACTTCTGTTCAGTTTAGTTATTAAATGATATGATCTTTCTTTTCCTCTTTCTCCTCCAGCGTATTGCCATGGTGATGCTGACACGTGTCTCCTGGAGGCTAACGTCTCAACGGAGGTGTGCTTGACTGTGCTGGACATACTCAGTGTTTTCATTATGGGCTTTAAGGTAAAGACAACAAGTGGAAGTGTGTGTTTATTAGTACAAGTCAAAGTTCAGTTCTTCCTTGAAGCACTCTCATATTAAAACTATGTATCTACAGACTCAGCTGTGTGCAGATTTGGGTCATAACCCACTGATGAAGAAGGTTTTCCAGGTGCACCTCTGTTTCCTTCAGATCCCCCAGTCAGAGATGGCACTGAAGCAGGTCTTCACCTCCTTACGTACCTTCGTTTACAAGGTAACCACAGCAGCCACTTTCACTGTTGATTCATGGGATATGACAGGAGAAAATCCTCAAAAAAGACCCTTTTCAATACAAAGACATGCAGAACATCCTGAGATCACAAATAATGCACCGAATTCAGACAGTTTACAGTTAGAAAAGGTTTATTTAGGGATCAAACAAGCAAAATAGTAATTAAAGTTAGCAAAATACAATATTTTCTGATATATTTTCTCACCAGACCCTTAAAGGGATAGTTCACCCAAAATTGTAAATTCTGCCATCCTTTACTCACCCTCAAGTTGTTGCAAACCTGTATGAATTTCTTTCTTCTGTTGAACACAAAAGATATTTTGAAGAATATTGGTATCCAAACAGTTGCTGGTAGCATTGACTTCCATAGTATGAAAAAAATACTGGAAGTCAATGGCTATATTCATCAAAATATCACAGTCAATTTACACTTCCCACCATTGAATTTAGTTTTGAGATCACATAATTGGGTAATTAAATGTCCAACATAAGTGTACACATGATGAACACATAATTATGTTGTTCATCCAACTCTCCATGTGTTTTTCTGTCTTTCTCAGTTTCCCTGTACGTTTTTTGACGGACGGGCGGATATGTGTGCCTGTTTGTGCTATGAGATCCTGAAGTGCTGTAATTCCAAACTGAGTTCCATACGCAGTGATGCTGCCCACCTGCTCTATTTCCTCATGAAGAGCAACTTTGAGTACAATGGCAGGAAGTCCTTTGTCCGAACACACCTGCAGGCAAGAGAGGGATTAGAGGGTAATGGGGGGGGGTCGAATAAACACCAAAAGTGTCCATCAAATAATAAAAAAAATTATTTTAAGTCATCTTGTTGCCCCCTTGGAAGTTTGATGAGGCCCCCTAGTGGGTCCCGGACCCCCTGGTTGAGAACCACTGATCGAGAGAACCCTTTTGCAACCTAGAGTCACAATCACAATAAAACACAATCTGGCTGAAATACTTGGCGATTTATTTGAAATATTTTTTCTCAGGTGGTGATTGCGGTGAGTCAGCTGATTGCTGATGTCATTGGGATTGGAGGGACACGCTTCCAACAATCACTGTCCATCATTAATAATTGTGCCAACAGTGATAAAACTGTAAAGGTAAAATTAGAAATTTCCATTTATACAGTATACAGGTGCATCTCAATAAATTAGAATGTCGTGGAAAAGTTCATTTATTTCAGTAATTCAACTGAAATTGTGAAACTCGTGTATTAAATAAATTCAATGCACACAGACTGAAGTAGTTTAAGTCTTTGGTTCTTTTAATTGTGATGATTTTGGCTCACATTTTACAAAAACCCACCAATTCACTATCTCAACAAATTAGAATATGGTGACATGCCAATCAGCTAATCAACTCAAAACACCTGCAAAGGTTTCCTGAGCCTTCAAAATGGTCTCTCAGTTTGGTTCACTAGGCTACACAATCATGGGGAAGACTGCTGATCTGACAGTTGTCCAGAAGACAATCATTGACACCCTTCACAAGGAGGGTAAGCCACAAACATGCATTGCCAAAGAAGCTGGCTGTTCACAGAGTGCTGTATCCAAGCATGTTAAATGAAAGTTGAGTGGAAGGAAAAAGTGTAGAAGAAAAAGATGCACAACCAACCGAGAAAACCGCAGCCTTATGAGGATTGTCAAGCAAAATCAATTCAAGAATTTGAGTGAACTTCACAAGGAATGGACTGAGGCTGGGGTCAAGGCATCAAGAGCCACCACACACAGACATGTCAAGGAATTTGGCTACAGTTGTCGTATTCCTCTTGTTAAGCCACTCCTGAACCACAGACAACGTCAGAGGCGTCTTACCTGGGCTAAGGAGAAGAAGAACTGGACTGTTGCCCAGTGGTCCAAAGTCCTCTTTTCAGATGAGAGCAAGTTTTGTATTTCATTTGGAAACCAAGGTCCTAGAGTCTGGAGGAAGGGTGGAGAAGCTCATAGCCCAAGTTGCTTGAAGTCCAGTGATAAGTTTCTACAGTCTGTGATGATTTGGGGTGCAATACCATCTGCTGGTGTTGTTCCATTGTGTTTTTTGAAAACCAACGTCACTGCACCCGTTTACCAAGGAATTTTGGAGCACTTCATGCTTCCTTCTGCTGACCAGCTTTTTGAAGATGCTGATTTCATTTTCCAGCAGGATTTGGCACCTGCCCACACTGCCAAAAGCACCAAAAGTTGGTTAAATGACCATGGTGTTGGTGTGCTTGACTGGCCAGCAAACTCACCAGACCTGAACCCCATAGAGAATCTAAGGGTATTGTCAAGAGGAAAATGAGAAACAAGAGACCAAAAAATGCAGATGAGCTGAAGGCCACTGTCAAAGAAACCTGGGCTTCCATACCACCTCAGCAGTGCCACAAACTGATCACCTCCATGCCACGCCGAATTGAGGCAGTAATTAAAGCAAAAGGAGCCCCTACCAAGTATTGAGTACATGTACAGTAAATGAACATACTTTCCAGAAGGCCAACAATTCACTAAAAATGTTTTTTTTATTGGTCTTATGAAGTATTCTAATTTGTTGAGATAGTGAATTGGTGGGTTTTGGTTAAATGTGAGCCAAAATCATCACAATTAAAAGAACCAAAGACTTAAACTACTTCAGTCTCTGTGCATTGAATTTATTTAATACACGAGTTTCACAATTTGAGTTGAAATACTGAAATATATGAACTTTTCCACGACATTCTAATTTATTGAGATGCACCTGTATACAAAATACATATTATTATACTTTAGGTTGCTTTCTGACTAAATACTAAAATACCTTACACAACTTTTAATGTCTGAACAGATTACTAAGCATCATCACTTACAGATTTTATCCTCTGAAATCATAGGTGATTTTCAATGAATTTGGTCAAACTTGAGTGCCCAAAATCTAAACACTGGCGATGACGTTCATCAACTAACATCAACTCCAGAAAAAAAGCTGTGGCAAAAATCTGGGCAAAAGTTATGTAGTGTATTTCTTAAGAAAGCATCTACTAAAAACATAAATGCTAACCATAAATATGGATGTCAGAGTAACATTGAAATGTATAAATTCAAGTAGATTACCAGCTTTTCATATTCAAATCACATGTTTATGTCACATCAGAAATTACTGTTTGCCTATCCTCTGCACTCTCTCTTCCTGTTCCTCTAGCACACTGCTTTCCCCTCGGATGTGAAGGACCTGACCAAGCGGATCCGGACGGTACTGATGGCCACTGAGCAGATGAAGGAACATGAAAAAGACCCAGAGATGCTGGTGGACCTTCAGTACAGCCTGGCCAAATCCTACACCAGCACCCCCGAGCTGCGCAAAACCTGGCTGGATAGTATGGCCAAAATCCACGTGAAGAATGGAGATCTGTCTGAGGCAAGCTGGCCATGTTATGCTTGCTAATAAATTAAGAGGTCTTTAAAACTAAAACAAAAAAAACCTAAATAACTAAATTAGGTTAAATACATCCTGTTACTTATATTTTTAACTCCTTAATTTTGCGTTTTTTCACTCAGTATTTAAGTTTAACTGTTTATTCATCATCAGTTTATTTGGTGATATAGTAAAACAATGGTGGATAACTTTACATCAATGACTTCATCAAGGGCTTATTTTTTTCTATAGGCAGCGATGTGTTACGTGCATGTGGCAGCACTTGTGGCTGAGTACCTGAAGAGGAAAGGTGAGAAGTCCACTAGGGGGCACAGTAAATATAGTTTGCAATGTAGTTTGGGGTCAGAAATGAACTTTTAATCAAGATGCAAAATTTGCCCCCTGGAACGGATATGTGCATTATTGCACACAGTTTGTGATCTATTTATGTAAATTACTTTATATTTTGAACAAATGTGGCTTATAAAAGCAAGTATTAAATACAGAAGTAACAATGCATTAAATACAAAGTAATAAATCTTAATCAAATCTTATCAAATATGTTTTGAAAGCTTTCCATGCTTGCATGCACACACACACACACACACACACAAACACAGATTTATAAAGGTATCTTGTTCAAGGTTCATCTGTATTTTGCAATCTGGAATTCTTTTGTGAATTTCTTTTACAGGAGGTAATCTCTATGTGTGATAACAGCACTATTAATGCAGGGTCAGGAAAATGAACACGTGTATGCACAAAAACACACACATTCACATATTATGCAGTGTGAACATTATTTACAAAGGAGATCGGTTCTTGAGGTGTGATGTTTGCCTTAATGTCTAGTGTGTGTCCAAATGCCTGATTTTTTGTAAAGGTTTTGTAGTTTATTGAACCTGCTTTCACCTGTTCTGCTTACTATTCCTTCGCCTTGGCAGGAATGTTCCGGCAGGGCTGCTCAGCATTTCGTGTGATCACACCCAACATTGATGAGGAGGCAGCCATGATGGAGGATGTGGGCATGCAGGACGTTCACTTCAATGAGGTTCAGACCAGCTCGCTCCTGATCACGTTTATATATAGCCACATTCATGAGTCGCAGCCTCTTAATCCTGCCACTCTTTTATATATTGACTCTACATCAGCACTGGAATGAATTCAAAACTGTCTTTTATAACGTCAGTAATAATCCATAGTAGAAAATGTTCTGATTTCTTATCTAATCAGTATCAATTGCTCCTTTCCAGTGGGTGTGTTAGTAAAGGAAGTCCAGATAATGAGCCCTGATTAGACCTGAGAGTCCCTCATCACTGTGAATAATCAGTTTGTGTGTTTAATGAACTCTTTGTGTAACATTTACATGTTGTTCAGTGCTTACACTTATGATAAAAGATCATCTCTGCGGTTGGACTTTGTCTGGTTAGAACAGCAGTTTTGTGTGTAGCACGATTTGTTGAGAGAAGATAGTTTGCTGTATCTGGATTAATGCATTAATGTTGAAATGCAGTATTGCACATTAATGTATGTTATTACACATACATGTCTATCTGCAGGAAGTGCTGATGGAGTTGTTGGAAGCTTGTGCTGATGGTTTATGGAAAGCTGAGCGTTATGAACTTATTTCAGATATCTACAAACTCATCATTCCGATTTATGAACAACGCAGAGACTTTGAGGTGCACACACACTCTTTTTATGTGTCATTGGAAATGCAGCATTTACATTTGCCAGAAATACAGTATGTACCATGTTTGGATAGTATGAATGTATTTTTGTGCTTTTGTGTAGAAACTGGCCCACCTGTATGACACATTACATCGGGCTTACACTAAAGTGATGGAAGTGATGCATTCTGGGAAGAGGCTACTTGGGACCTTCTTCAGAGTGGCATTTTTCGGCCAGGTAAGACAATGCAATGGTGCAGTGGTTTCAACTAGTCTAGCTAACACAGACAATTTGATTGGATTGAGTTGCACTATAGCAATAATATAGCTGCATTTTATTTTAAAGGGGTCAAATCATGAGGTATCAAGCTGAGAAAAAGTTTGGTGTATTATGAAAATATACTTTGACTTTTATTATTCAAAACTTCCTCCTCAGTCCAAAAATAATGACCTATGGGACCGTCTTTTGAAACTAAGATGCAAAAATATTGGATGTCTGAAGAAAAAAAATCAAAGCCCCCCAAAATTATATAAGAGTCCACATTTACACATGAAGAATGCTTATTTGTTTATCAGAAACTTGCCCCACAACAATCTTCTTTGTGCACACCAAAAGTGAATTTAATGATTTGCGTGCGTAGATTACATGCAAAGACGCGAATAGACGAGAATTTGCGCTGGGCGACACGATTGCCGCCGACACGCAATATTTTCCTCAAACGCGTCTTTTGCCCAAGCTGAAAAATTTCAACTCGAGGGGGAAATTCACATGGTGCTGTCACAATCACGTTTGTTTGGACTCTTTGTTTCATCATCGTCTGCCTTAGTCATTCATTTGTTGTCACGGACACTAATTATGGTCAGCTGTGCACTCATCAATCACCATCATTATCATTATATAGGTTCAGTTCTGTTTCAGTCTAGTTGTCCGGTGTGGTCTATCTTGGATGTGTTGTATGTTGCTCTATTCATGTTGGATTACCTGTTGGATTTGTTAAATATTACCTATTTGCCTTCATCTTCATCTTCGTGGGTGTTTATACAACGACCCATGTGACAGACACATTATCGCGCAAGCCAATAAGCAAAGAGGTTATTGACACGTCCGGTTGTATCAGAATATGGAGAAGAGCACGAGTGACTCGAAAAACATTAAGTAAAGCGATGCAAATATTCGCTTCGCTTTTGGTGTGCACACAACATAAGTGTTATGGAGAAGGTGGAAAATGGTCACCAAAAAAAACTAATTTTGAGTGTTTTAGGCAGAAAATAAATGTGTAAAAATTACATTACAAAATTAAAATTGTATAATAAAAATGTATGATATGACCTCTTTAAAAATGGAAAGGAGACATTCCTGTATGCATGATAATATACCCTGCATGATAGCCAAAGTCAAAGTACCCTGCATGACAGCCAAAGTCTGTGGGTCTCGGTTAATCAATATTTTCTGCTCTCTTTTCTTTCCTAAGGCTGCGGTAAGTGCAAAACAACAGTGTACTAGTTTAATTTCAGTGTAAATGAAACAGGCAAACAATCAAATTATGTAAGCATATTAAGTATTTAAGCCCTTTTGCATGCAGCAAAATTTTGGCGTAGGTATATCTGCACCAAAAATGAATCCAGGTCACCTGCTATGCTTGTTGGAGTATATATTATAGTATAATAGAAACGCTGTATCATGATTATCTACTTGATCCTAGAATCAGACCCTTTTACCAGACACACAGAGACCTTTCAAACGGCATCAAACATGAATTGTTGCCTTGTTATAAACTCTGATTTAAGAAAGGTGGTTTTGGTGATCTCTGCAGTGTCCTGTGTTCAGATGGAAATGAGGGGAGAGAGGGGAAGAGTGAAGGTGTGGAGCTTTTGTTTCTCTCAGTTGGGTGTCTTGCTTTAGGCTTGCGAGACAGAGTTCAAATGTTGATTCTCGTGAGAGTTCTTTGTTTTTTCAGACGGTGACCTTCTTCTGATCTAGCCAAATGGCATCAATAATCTTACAACCACAAAACTTCCGTTAACAATAAAACCCTTATGTCTCTGCTTTTCTGCCATCTGGCCGAACGGTTCTGATCATGGTGAGGAATAGTTCCAGTTGCATTTCCATTTTTAGCATGGTTAGCTAACCGTGCTCAGCCATGCTAATGGATCACCTGATGGCTTTCTAGTACTGTAGTACAGTATTTTTCTGCATGTTTTTTTTTGGTCCTTTTTAGCTAGCCAGGGAAATTTTCATTTGATGTGATCATTCTCGATATCATGCTCACTCCAAATTTAAATGTATATAAATGCATAGAAATCCGTCACCAATTCTAACATATATTCTACTCCTGATTTCATAGCACTAAATCAGAAAACAAAACTGCAACCAGATCAGCATGATTCAGCATGGTTTAGCAAAGAGTTTAATGTTTTATTAGGCAGACAAGCCTGATAATATTTTTTCAAAATTAATTTTAAAACACACTATTTAAAATTGGAAACTGGAATTTTTTTTCTCCAAATTTGATTTGAAAGCACTTTGAGCCACGATACTGTATGTATTCATTATTAAAAAAAAATTTTTTTTTTATATATACTGTATATATTCAGTATTCACATATAATGTTATATTATATATATTATTAAAATGTAAAACAACTGTTTTCTATTTTAATATATAAAAATTGTATTTCTTTGATGGCAAAGCTGATTTTTCAGCAGTCATTACTCCAGTGCCACATGAACCTTCAGAAATTATTCTAATATGCTGGAGTGGTGCTCAAAATAATTAATTTTATTATCCCTGTTAAAATTGATTTTGCTGCTTATATTAGCATTAAAACCTCAGTAGTGATGAATAGCTTTATTCTTTACTATCTTTGATCAATTCAATGAATCAATTTCTTTTTCAAAAAAAAAAAAACCCTCTGACCCCAAACTTTTGAACTTTTGAAATCATTGGTTTATTGTGTTCACCATATAAGTGCACTTCTAGACACGGAAACAAGATTTAATGAACATATATCCTTGGCCTCTATACAGTATAATACATTTATTTCCCCAGCTATTCCCTGAACACTAATCTTTAATGATTGCATTTTAGTGTGTACTTCCTGTATTAACTCTGTACAGTACACCCGGATCTTGAGCTCTGGGCTGCAGTTGTTTTCAAAAACAATTAATCAGTCTTTGTCTCAAGTTAAGTGTTTAGTGTTGTAAAAGCAACCAGGAAATTTCAAAGTTGAACCCTGATCTTCATCCTCTGATACATTTTCAGATCAGATCTGGCCACTGAGGCAGAATGACCTTCTTAGAGTGTGTGTTCTAAATAAACCACTATATCACACAGTTTCAAGGTGTGCCATCTGCACGGAATATAAATCTGGATTACTTCACAAACATGAGTAGATTTCAGCTGGGACCTTAATGTGTTTGTTCTTCTAGCCACTCCTTCTCTGAACGTAGTACTGCATTCACTTAATGTCTATGTGCTCTTTCTTTTCCAATTTCTCTGTTTCAGCTACACACTGTTTCCCATATGTAAAGAAGCGCATAGCAGTGATGTATCAGCACCACACAGACCTGAGTCCCATCGAGGTGGCCATAGATGAGATGAGCGGGAAGGTGGCGGAACTCAGAGCCCTCTGTGCAACTATTGAAGTTGACATGATCCGCCTGCAACTTAAGCTGCAAGGAAGCATTAGTGTACAGGTGTGTGTGCGCGTGCATGTGTGTGCGTGTGCGTGCGTGTGTGTGTGTGACACAAATCTTTGGTCTGTTACAAAAGTAACCTAGCCAACATTTTTAGGCATCATGATGTAGAGCCCTTGACAAAAAAACAAGCAATGTTAATAATAAATTTATTCTGTGTTATAAGATACTTTGTTTTGTTCAGGCAAAGCATCTTCTCATTTGATCCCAAAATGCACTCCAATGAGCTTAATGAAAAATGACATTGATATTGACATACAAGATCTGTCATGAGAAAGTTCTGAGAAATGTCAATTATAAAGTAATTGTATTCAGTACATAACAATTATCAATAGAAAAGTTTATTTTGATCAAAATGTGCCATTATAATTAATATTTTATCCAATATTTGTATATGCTTTGTATGTTTATAAAGTCAATAGGTGCAACATGGTAATATTTTAAGGTTGCAGTTAATGAAAGGATAAAATAAAATAAATCAAGTGGCATGAAAACTGATCCATGGTGACATTTTATTTTTACCAGCAAAACATCCTATTTGTGATCAGATTTTCTAGAGCTACTATTAAAAAAACTTTACAATACATTCAAAGGTTTGGGGTCAGTAAGATTTTTTTTCTTTTTGAAAGAATGCTTTATATTCAGCATGGATAAGAGTAAAGACATTCATGATATTATTTTAAAAAGTTTCAAATAAATGCTGTTCTTTTGAACCTATTGCTGTTCTTTTGATTCTTCTATTAATCAAAGAATTCTGAGATCAAATTTATCATGGTTTCAACAAAAATGATTGCTAATAATACAAAATGATTTCTGGACACCAAATCAGTTTATTAGACTGATTTCTGAAGGATCATGTGACACTGAAGACTGGTGTAATGCCTGTTGAAAATTCAGCTTTGCCATCACAGGAATAAATTATATTTTAAAATATATTCAAATTAGTTCTGTCAAACGATTAATCACGATTAATCGCATCCAAAATAAAAGTTCATATAATATATGTGTGTGTACTGTTATTTATAATGTGTATATATAAATACACAAACATTCATGTATATATTTTAATATATTTTATTTATATATACATAATAAATATACACCGTACACATGCATATATTATGTAAACGAAAACCTTTTTGGATACGATTAATCTCGATTAATCATTTGACAGCACTAATTCAAATAGAAATCAGCTATTTTTAATTGTAATAACATTTTACAATATTGCTATTTTTACTGTATTTTTGTAAACTTATAATTGTAAAAAACTATACTTATAGCTAGTTGTGCAGCCCACCAAAAATACTGATTCTATAGATTAATAATACAACCACTTGGTGACATCTAACAATAAAATCACTGTCAATAGAGAGCAGACAATAAGGCGCCCCACTAGGTATTGAAACAAAGCGATTGCATTGAATCACACACACATTCACCCCAAGTTTGGCATGTTTAAATTTCAGTTAAGATGTTATTTAGTTCCTTTCTTCCTTGTAGGGCGATTTTGCATGGATTTTACATTTTTGGTTGTTTTTATGAAGAATTTTAAAGCCATTTCAATCTCACAAGAACAGCAAACCTTCCCCCAAATACACTTTTGCCATTACATCACACACTCTGATTTAAACTGACCTGTAAATGACTTTTTTTTCCAAAATACTTCTTTCTCTTCAGGTCAATGCTGGGCCACTTGCATATGCCAGAGCTTTCCTTGATGACGCCTGCGCCAAAAAATACCCAGATAATAAAGTCAAACAGCTTAAAGAGGTCTTCAGGTATATAAAAAATACTTGAAATGCCTTCCAGAATCTCTTCACATGCGCCTGCTTTCTTATTCTGTGTATATGGTGTTTGTGTATGCAGGCAGTTTGTTGAGGCATGTGGACAGGCTCTAGCTGTGAATGAAAGACTGATTAAGGAGGACCAACAGGAATATCATGATGAGATGAAAGCCAGTTACAAAGACCTGGCCAGAGAGCTTTCACACATCATGCATGAACAGGTAACCTTACACAATGGCACATCGTGAATCTTGTTTCCCTATGCCAGTAGAAACACACTGAGTCTGTGGTGGCAAAAGATTTGAATAATTACAATTTTTAAATATCTCTGAAAGAAGTCTCACCCAGGCTGCATTTACTGAATTAAAAATATAGTGAAAACAGTGATGTTGTTAAATATTATTACCAATTGAAATAACTGTTTTGCTTTTGAATGTATTTTAAAATGTAATTTATTCCTGTGATGACAAAGCTACATTTTCAGCAGCCATTACTGCACTCACATGATCCTTCAGAAATAGTTCTAATATCCTGATTTAGTGCTGAATTATTAATAATAGTTTTTTATTATTACCAATGTCGAAAAGTTTTTTCTGCCTAATATTTAATCTTTTTTGTGGAAACTGTTTTTTTTTATAAAATTTTTTTGTAACATTATAAATGTCTTTGTCACTTTTGTTGCTATTTTTTATTTTTTTAATGGTGAAAAAAAATGGTAATATGTCATGGTTTCCATAAAAATATTAAGCAACAAAAACAGTTTTCATCATTGATGAAAATAAGAAATGCTTCTTGAGCACCAAATCAGTATATTAGAATTCAGGAATGAATTACATTTTAAAATACATTCAAATAAAAAAATAAAAAAACTGTTACTTAAAATTTTAATATTTCACAATATTACTGTTTTTAATATTTGTAATCAAATAAATGCAGCCTTGGTGAGCATAAGAGACTTCTTTCAAAAACATGCAAAAATCGTAATTCCACTTTTTTGGCCGCCAGTGTATATTCACTAGTAGGTTACGTGAATGTTTGGTTCATGTTTAATATTCATGATTCTCGTTCTCTCTCTCTATTGTGCTGGCCTCTGTAGATCGGATGGTAATAATGCATACAATTTATCATACTTTAAAAACAATACAGTACAGTTCAAGTGTCAGTTTGATCTGGTCTTTCTCACCCTGCACTCTTCCTCTTCATCAGATCTCCGCTGTGGAGGGCGGAACCAAGAGCTCTCTTTCGGATTCGCTGCATATTTTCAATGCCATCAGTGGCACGCCCAGCGGCACCACCCTGCATGGCATGCCTAGCTCCGCCTCCACCATGTGACTCTCACCCCTGGCCTTAAACCTCTGACCCTGCCCGAGCCAGAGAGACGGACAGACAGACTGAAAAGCATCAAAAGCGAAAGAACAAGAAAAGAATGGAATTTCATTGTCCGACACTCTGAATGAATCGCCCATCAATCAGCATCCAGGACTCTGGGATAGAGCAGGTGTGTCCGGTCTTTGTAATGTCCAGATACTATTCCCATATGACGCATGTAATTGAAAGAAAGGAGCATTTGTTCTTCTCTCATCCACTCCAGTTTCCTGTGGAGACTATCACTTTTATTTCTTTCGTAACCAGAACAACTTGAAAAATCTGCCTTTTTACTTTCACATTCCTCAATTTTAATGCATCATTTTTCCATATATTCCCCAATTCTGTACGTTTTTTGCTGCTCTGTGCTGAGAGAGAGGCTGCGACATCACTTCCTGTGTCTGAGGCAGCTGCCGTCCACTGAGTAGTAGTGAAGAGAATATAACTGAACTTTAGTGTAGCTGGAAGTTTGAGCTTTACTGTACAAAATACCCTTGATCACCTGAGCCACTCAAGCTTTTTAGCCCACACTTCCATTTCTATCATTTTTTCCTTGTTTTTTGTTTTGTTCTATTCTATTCTATTCTATTCTATTCTATTCTGTTCTGTTTTGTTCTGTACTGTTCTGTTTTGTTAAGCCAAGAAGCGATTTGCTGTTTCTTTGTAGCGGAGTGCAATAATTCTCTTTCTTTGTCCTGTTTTGGTTCCTGAAGATCTCTTGCCAAAGTGAGAAGGCTAGATGTGAAATATATAAATATATATATGGACAAAAGAGATAAACACAAGGATTTGTATAACCGTTTATGTTTGTTTAAATGTAAATTGTTTTATATCGGGGGGTTAGATATGGGGGGTATTTTTATTTAATAGAATCTGTTCTGGAAATATATTAATGTCCCTAAAATCTCTGAATAAAATGTATTATCTTACATCGGTTCTCATGTGGTTTTCATTCTTATCAGTTGCTTCCCTTAAACATACTTTATCTCTACTACTGTGAACTTTATTATTTACCAACCAAGATCCTTATAAAGGGTGTTAAAACCTGATTCAGTTTTCTCGTCTATACATTATTTATGGTCTTTTTAATGTATAATTTATGGCCTACCATACTTTGTTTTTTTTACCCCAGATTATGAGGCCTTTAGCACGACTGCAAAAACATACAGCCCATCAATTATTCTCTCATATCTGATTGCTGACACTTTTAAAGCACCCTATGTATATATACAGTGGTGTGAAAAAGTGTTGGCCCCCTTCCTGATTTCTTATTTTTTGCATGTTTGTCACACTTTAATGTTTCAGATCATCAAACAAATTTAAATATTAGTAAAAGATAAAACAAGTGAACACATATATATATATATATATATATATATATATATATATATGGTTTAGAAGAGATAGACCATGTTGACGCAGTATCAGATTCAATTTTGTTTTTAAAGTGCGTTCTGAATGAAACCTGCTGACTTGCTCTCAATCTACACACACACACTTGCTCATGCCGTTCTGCCCCTGCCCCCCTCCACCACTGTCGCCATTGTATCGCAGAAACATCTCTGTTTGGGTGAGGGCAGTTTGTTTACCTCTCTCTTCCAATGCATTACAGCTCTACAAACTTCAAGTCCAGGTTATCTCTAGCTTTTCAGCTTAAGTAAGTCATTTTAACATTGTATAACAGCTGACCATGTGCTTTGTGAAGGTTTTGTTCACATCACTCCGACTTCACAGTCAGTAAATCTTATAATGTAAATATATGCACACAGTTGCTGCGTTTGTATGTGTTATGGGGTTGTATCAGGGTAATAAATGGCATTATTAGGGTTATTTGAGAACAGTCATATGATGTGTTGGCATTGTTTTGAAGTTCCAACATTATCTATCATATCTAATCTGCATTCTTTCAGATAGCAGTTTCAGCTCGAAGAGTTAATTATGTATTATATTAAATCAGCCTCCATTTACCATTCAACATAATTCGTATTTAAAAATTTTGTAGAATTTTATCTACCCCAGCATAAAAGTGTACTTAAATGACTTGAAATAGTTAAAACAAAACAAAAAACTTTCAAGGACACATTTATATAAGAATAAATGTATTTGCTAAATCTTTGATTTATTAAAAATATGCATAGGAAAACAATGATATTTTGCACTATATAGTTTTTTTTTTAATTTTTGGAATTAAATAATTAGTATATTCATTCTAATATAATTAAATCTTATTACAAAGGCTAAACGTTCATATCATTTGATTTTCTGTATCAATTGATAAGATAAATAACTAAACTGCTCCTCATTTGCCTCCTCCCACTCATACGCGCACACACAGCCACAAATACTGTCATAAACATCTACGTCAATCTCATTTTAACCCAGTGGTGGTGGCCAAGGATACATTTTATTGTTCAGAGTCTATAAAACCCTGTTACCTGTCTCCTTCAGAGTACAGCTTTATCTGTACTAAAGGATATTCTTAACAAGAGGACTAGAAGGCAGCCTCAAGTCAGCGCAGTCATCATGGCAGGTGAGTAAACCTAGATGTTGATATGGAACAATATAATAATAATTATCTCTGTTTACTTTGGGTTTGTACCTATAGATTGAATGTGTGTATTCTTTGCTTAAACAGGGCAATGCACAAACTGTCCATAAATATGTTATAGTGTGAAGACATTTGAAATAGCATTTAGTAAGTTCAAACTGAATCCATATTAGATCTATTTGAATGACATTTCACTTTTTTTGCAGATAACGAGGAGAGAAATACAAAGAAGGCCAAGAATAATAGGGTGAGACTTTTCAAATCTGATCAGTAATGCAATGCTAGTTACTCACAGAATTACTTGTCAGTATTTTTATTTTATTAAATTGAATAATTTATTGTACAATAAATATGTCAACACAATTAAGCACTGAAAGAAGGCCAAGAATAATAGGGTGAGACTTTTCAAATCTGATCAGTAATGCAATGCTAGTTACTAGTTACAATGCTAGTTACAGTATTTTTATTTTATTAAATTGAATAATTTATTGTACAATAAATATGTCAACACAATTAAGCACTGTTTTTATATAGTAAATACACAAATATACAATTCTAATAAAAGTACATGTTATTAGGAAATATTTTAATTGAACTGTGATTTTTCGTTGTAGCCAAGTTGCTTGGGATATCCTATCAGTATATTTTTCATTGTGGTGAATGAGTTCTGTGAGCGATTCTCCTACTATGGCATGAAAGGTGAGACCAAACACATACTGTACACAAATAAAATAATATGAACTTTTATCTCTGTTTTACCTTTGCCATCCACATAGATGATTTCACACAGCTTAGTCTTTTTTCTCTTTCTTTCCTTCTTAATTCTTTCCACTCATCTCTTGCTGTGTGTCTCCTGTCTCTGTGTTTTGCAGCGGTGCTGGTGCTGTACTTCAAGTATTTTATCGGTTGGGACAATGATTTGTCCACCACCATCTACCACACGTTCGTGGCTCTGTGCTACCTAACACCTATCCTGGGGGCCATCATTGCAGACTCATGGCTGGGCAAGTTCAAGTGAGTTGTAGGACTTGGAAAATATAACATACTACCATACTAACCATACTAGGAATACAGTATGCGATATACAATGTCAGTGAATTTCAAACTTTTTGATTCTAATGATCCCCAGCTATGATGGTACCCTTTCCTACAATATCAAAACAGCTATACTACCATTCAAAAAAAGGAACCATAGTTTCCACATAGATACTGTGCGGCACAACAGCTGTGCTTTGATAATAATGTTTCTTGAGCACCAAATCAACACATTAGAATAGATCATGTGACACTGAAGACTGGAGGGAGTAATGGCTGCTGAAAATGAAGCTTTGACATCACAGGAATAAATTACATTTAAAAATAGAAAACCATAATTGTAACCATATTTGCAATATTATTTACTTTTCATCACATAAATGAGCATAACCAACTTCGTTTCAAAACATTGCAAAATTTTCAGACTCCAAACTTTTAAAGAGTAGTGTGCATATTTTAAAACCCATTTTGAGGTAAATCAATCATTAATTAATAAGTGTGATTTAAAAAAATGCAGTAATTTCCATTTATTTTAAAACAATCATTCAAATATTTTTGGAGAAAACATTATAAATTGAAGATAATTAATAATAACTCACAATAAATATTGGTCCAAAGCTTTTTTTTTTTCTTTGAAAAATTTACTTGGACCCCTAGCACCCCCTTGTGGCCTCCTTCCCGTCCCCGGACCCCAGTTTCTAAACTTGTACTGAGTACACAGTCAAAAGACTTAGTTCAATAACATTCGATTATAAATGTATTTCTTCTAGAATTCATGTGGGTATAAACATTACCTCCATTCTCCACTTTTCGCAGGACTATCGTGTATCTGTCTGTAGTGTACACCATCGGACAGGTGATCATGGCAATCAGTGCCATCCACGACATCACAGATACAGACAGAGATGGTAAACCTGACAACATGACCTTCCATACGTGAGTTACTGCTTGGGATATGCTGTTTCATTATATTATCGTAAACATTACCCAAATAACCTATTGAATTAAAAGTAGAATGCTCTTTATTACTTATTACATATTTGGTGTGAATTTGAATCTCCTCTCTTTTATTTTAGTGCCATGTCCATGTTGGGACTCATCCTCATTGCTTTGGGAACTGGAGGTATTAAACCCTGTGTGGCAGCGTTTGGAGGAGATCAGTTTGAAGAACATCAGGCATGTAGACCCTTATACACACACACACACACACACACATTTAACACACCCTATTAAAGAGGATGAACTGAATTCAAGCACAGCTGCACATTCTTGTGTGTGTAAATCAGCTGTTATCAGCTCAAGGCTAAGTCTCTGATATTGAGTGTTAGAGATGAACAAATAGTGATTTTTAGGGCCTCCACCCACAAGGATATAAAGTCTAAAGGCCAATGGTGAAAGTGTGAAATGTGCATGTTTTAGGCTGAATGTTACAATGTGAGGAATGCTGATGTATCTATTATATGTCAGCATTCCTCATATTGTAACATTTGTATTTTTTTCACACACACACTTACATGCTTTCAGCCAGCAGAAACTGCTAAAATATTAAGCAGCACAACTGTTTTCAATACTGATAGTAATAAGAATTGTTTCTTAAAGGGTTAGTTCACCCAAAAAAATGAAAATTACCCCATGATTTACTCACCCTCAACCTAGCCTATGACTTGACTTTCTTCTTTCAGACGAATACAATCTGAGTCATATTAACAAATGTCCTGGCTCTTCCAAGCTTTCTAAAGGCAGCGAAGGGGGGGGTCGAGATTTTGAAGCCCAAATAATGCATTCATCCATCATAAAAGTACTCCACACGGCTCCAGGGGTTAATAAAGGCCTCCTGAAGCGTTTTTGCAAGAAAAATACAAAAATGTATAAACTGTAATCTCTAGCTTCCACTAACTATCATACACACATTCATGAGAGAGTGGCTTAGGACATAGTATATGATGTAGGATGTAGGCTGTATGGATATTTTTCTTACACAAATGCATGGCTTCGCTTTAGAAGGCCTTTATTAACCCCACGGAGCTGTGTGGAGCACTTTTATGTTGTTTATTGTGCTTCAAAATCTTAGCAAAAAAGCTTGGACATTTTTTATGTAACTCCGATTGTATTCGTCTGAAAGAAGAAAGTCATATACACCTAGGATGGCTTGAGGGTGAGTAAATCATAGAGTAATTGTCATTTTTGGGGTGAACTATCCCTTCATGCACCAAATCAGCAAATTAGAACGATTTCTGAAGGATCATAAGACACTAAAGACTGGAAATTCAACTTTGCCATCACAGGAATAAACTAAAATCGATTAAAATTGAAGCCATTACTTTGAAATGTAATGTAATATTGTAATAAATGATAATAATTAAATAATTAAAAAGTAATAATAAATTTTTTTTTTAAATGACTGACCCCAAACGTTTGAATGGTAGTGTATTTAAATGATAGTACTAATTCTTTTTATTTTATTTCAGGAAAAGCAAAGAAGTTCTTTCTTTTCCATATTTTATCTGTCCATTAACGCTGGCAGTCTTCTCTCCACTCTCATCACACCCATCCTGAGAGGTGTGTATTTTGTTACAATCCGAATAGCATCTTTTACATTGGTTGTTAAATGCATTGGTAGATTGGTAAATACACTTATGATCTTGTCTTTGTGTGTATTTGTTACGTTTTTCAGCTCAAGAGTGTGGTATCTACTCAAAGCAAAGTTGTTTCCCGCTGGCTTTTGGGGTCCCTGCAGCTCTCATGGTGGTTGCCCTCAGTAAGTTACAGCAGCTTTGGTCTACTTGTATTTATTTTGACATGTGCAATGCCTTTTATGACCTCTCGATCGACTGAGGTTACTCTTCTCTCTGCAGTTGTGTTCATCGCAGGCCACAGCATGTACATTATTGAATCCCCCAAAGGCAACATCCTGCTGCGAGTCATGAAATGCATTGGAGTAAGAGCACTGAAAACATTACGTTTTCTTTAAGAAATAATATTACGTTTTTGGAAAAACAGAGACATAAAATGAGACTCCTCAATTACAGTTCACTTTCCATTAGAAGACAGTGTAACTTGCATATTTGATAAATAATCAATAATCATATGTAATTGTTTTGGTGGGCAATTGATGACATGAATTTAAAATGTTGACACAGCATCTCGATCAAGTCTTGACTAGTGTTTGACATCAAATTGAGATCAAGGTGCCTGCTGGGATAACATCAAGTCATTTGGGAAAGTCTAAATGCATGATTGCTGTCTTTTCTCTACTACAGTTTGCAGTTAAGAACCGTTTCAGTCACCGCAGTAAGCAACACCCCAAGAGAGAGCACTGGATGGACTGGGCGGAAGAGAAATATGATGTATGTTACACAAAGCATTGTGATTAAATGTTTTATATACGCACAGCATGCGCCAATTAACTCTTCAGTGCAGTAAGATGTTCACACAGACATCATCTTTTTACAGAAACTCCTGATCGCTCAGGTGAAGATGGTGTTGAAGGTTCTGTTCCTCTATATCCCTCTGCCAATGTTCTGGGCCTTATTTGACCAGCAGGTCGGTGTAAAAACACAATAATGCTACAAATGCCATAATCAAATATGCATTCTTGCACAAACACTCATCTGTTTTCTGGCTTGATGTTAAATGAGAGTTGTGCTGTCTTTCCAGGGCTCCCGTTGGACTCTTCAGGCCACCACTATGGATGGTAACTTTGTAAGTAAAAAAAAAAACCTCATACATTTCAACTTCTTAAAGAAAACTACAAAATGCACATATATCAGTCCAATTATGTTGTCATATTTTATATGGTATATTCCTTCTTTCTTTCTCTCATCATAGGGAGCTTTTATAATTCAGCCAGATCAGATGCAGGTGAGACTGGTTTATTCTACACGGTTTGATTTGTGTTTTCTATGGATATGAAATTATCAGGACGATCTGTGATTGTAGATTGTTGATCTAGTGTACATATAGTGCATGTGTGCTCATTATTTGTGTTCTGGTGCAGATTGTGAACCCCATGCTGATTGTGATAATGGTGCCAATAATGGACTCTGCAGTGTATCCACTTATCAAGAAGTGTGGTATAAACTTCACGTAAGTGCTGCATAACTTTTATGGAATTTGCCTTTGTGATTATGAGACACGACATGTTATTTGACTGTGATTTTGTGTGTGTGGTGATTTCCAGGCCCCTACGGAGGATGACTGTTGGTATGATGCTGGCCGCGTTAGCATTTGTGGCTGCTGCTCTTTTGCAGATTCAAATTGACGTGAGTAACAGATACCTTGCAGTCTAGCAGATATGTTGCAATGACGTCTAAGAGACAAAACAAGATGCTTTATTTAGATTGAAGATTGTTATTGGTACAGCATGTTTATTGGCTTGATTTATGCCCTTAGCTTTCTGGTATAATAATCATCACAATGCATTTGATATACTGTACATTTTCAGCAAAGAAAATAAATTGTATGTTTCTGACATGCCTGTCTTGTAATCCAACAGCGAACAATCCCCAACTTCCCATCAAGCTCTCAAACCCAGGTGAAGTTCCTGAACTTGGGGGACACATCAGTGCCTGTTGTAGTGGGGGATCAAGAACCGTTTGCTGTTCCTGGTTTTAATGTAAGTTCGCACAATGGCACATCAAACATAATCAAGCAGTTTTTGAAAGAGTTGGAAAACCAGAATTAAAAGAAAATAACATTATTGGATGTTTCTTAAATTATGGGCATTTTTGGCACTATGGACAACTCAGAAAATTTTACAATTGTACTAGTATTTATAAATTACTATTTTGAGTAATAGTGTATATGCAAACAAGACATCACAGGAAAACTGTCATTTATATATATATATATATATATATATATATATATATATATATATATATATATATATATATATAT